GGCGTCAACCATGAAGCACGATGTAAACGCCACAATTTCATTGCAGAGCAAGTCGCCAAAAAGCTCCGCAAACGAATAGTGAACATCGTTCTCGAACCAAGAATTCCAACAGCGACCTCATTCATCAAGCCAGATATAATTGCAGTAAAGGGATCATCGGTGCACGTCATGGATGTCGGAATTTGTGACGCCGACCGCATGGCGCGTACGCACCAGCTGAAGGTCGACAAATATGGCACCGGAAATAACGCATCAGTGATCTCGAATTATATAAACGCACAATTCCCCGAAACACGCGAGATTTACCACCATCCAATTATCTTAAACAATCGGGGATTTAAATATCCGGCTTCGGTGAAATATTTAGCAACTCTCGGCATCACCAAACTCGACATCTCGGATATCTGCTTCTCCGACCTCCGATTATCACTGATGGTATATGATACATATAGAAGGGCAGCTTCCTCTCAGTCCTCCTAAAACGATTCCCGCAACCGGGGCATTCGCCCCTTCTCGGCAGATTGTTGTAAATCTCCACTCAGGTGTCATGCATGCAATTTACTGAAAATATAATGTTATAGGTCACTCCGAAATAGATGCTGGTCGGCGTTCGCCTGGATTCTGCGCCAGATCTTCATATCGTCGGCAAACATTAGGAAGTTTGAAGCGATTCCCTGTGCAATGTCGTGAATAAACACCAAAAACAAATGTGGACCTAAAACTTAGCCTTGTGACACACCACACTCGACTTGTATGGGGTCCGATAAAGAGCTTTGAATTCTGACCACCAATTGGCGTCGAAGTAGAAAGTTGGCAATACAGCTTAAAAGTGGGTCGCCGACCCCGTAATGCTGGAGCCTAGAGAGTAGTATCCGATGGTCTGGACGGTCGAAAGTTCTCGAAAAATCCAGGTAGATAACATCAACACCTTCTGCAGGGACAGGTGACTTGGTCCAACTACTGTGTGCGATTAGTACATTCGTTGTGCATGACCGCTGTCGACAAAAACCATGATGCTCAGGCGCGGTGATATTAGTTTTCCATGCTTACTGGTCAAGGTCATCCACACACACACACACACACACACACACACACACACACGTGACGTACGTGCTCCTGGTTTATTTGGATTATTCCTTTTTATCCTCTCGCAGCGTTGTCACTGTACGCTCATTCGAACCGGATTTACCAGCCCTACACAGTGATCAATCATACTTGGAACTATCTACGATTAACGTCCGTGCCATCACTAAGCCTTTTCACTGTCATCCGTGATTAAGCGCAAGCGTAACTGAGCTCGAGCTTGTCTTCGCTACCATCGCTCTAAGGTACATCGACACACTCGCAGGCCTCTCGGCTCACTCCCTCTGCCAGATTCGTGGTTCTCTTACGTACACTTAGACCTAGCAGGACCCTTACCTCTCTCTTGCGGTTCCGCACACTTACTGACATGTGTCGACCGTTTCATTAGATGGCCAGAAGCCATCCCTGTATCAGACTACACGGCCTAAACAGTCATTCGTGCGTGTTTGAACCGTCGGGTCTCCCACTACGGATGTCCATCTGCTATCACTACCGACCGTGGAACGGCTTTCGTACCTTCGCAATTCGATACATTCTGCAAATTCTTAGAGTGCCGCCGTATTCACACGACAGCATCCCACCCTGCGGCGAATGGCCTAGTCGCACGTTTTCTTCGACAGCTTAAATCATCTCTCTGTGCCACTTCTGACCCTGACTGGAGCGAACACATTCCGTTAGTACTTCTAGGTATCCGCAAAAGCATCAAAGCTGACCTGCCGTGCGCACCAGCAGAACTGGTGTACTGCACAACGCTTAAGCTGCCAGGAGAGTACATTTCGCCCCCCCCTCGCCATTGTGTATGCCACCGTCAAACTTCGCAGCCTCCCTTTCTCAGCGTATGCGCTTGCTGCGCCCAACCCCTCCTCGGGAGCAAACCAGAGATGTGCAGATGCACAGTAGACTCTACCTGCACTTACCTTTTCGTCCACACAGACACAGTGCGTCGTCCCCTTCAGCCTCCCTACACCAACCCCTCCAGACTTCTCAAACGAACTCCTAAGCATTTTACCTTATACCAGAATGGTCATCGAACAACGGTGTCCATCAGTCGTCTTAAGGTGGCGCTCTTCGATGATCCGTCCCAAAATTTATCTAGCATAGCCGCAAAGTTAAACGCACTCGCAGCTGCATCTTCTGCACCGAACACTCTAGATCTCTCTGCTACCCTTGACCCTCTGCCAACCCAACCCCAGGCAACTGACCGACGCGGTAGACAGGTCAAACGGCCGATCCGCTTTTCAGAATTTTTCAACGTTTGGTATATTCCCTGACATGCGTATTTTCCACCTTTTATGGTGAGTGTGTTTCATTCACAGATGTCCTTCAAAACGACAAAAAAGCCTAAAATCCTTTGGTTGGTACAGTAGATTTGTAACGTTTCTCCATTGACACAAGTGCTTCATCTGCCCAGGTGAATCAGTGTGCAATTGGGGTGGGATTTTATAGCGAACAGGGGCCAGAGAATTACACACACGAATTTCAGAGTACAGGAGGCGCATTTCAAGACCATCATGAAACGAGTTTGAATACCAGGCAATAGTAAGAGACTCGGCCGTGCCTGTACATGCGTTAGACACGGGTCATCAAATAGACTTGGAAAACGTAGCGGTCATTAGGAGGGGTATACGATCAACACCTCAGCGGTTGATTGCCGAGGCGGTGGCCATTGCCAAATCTGACGCCTGCATGAATACAATGGGGGAGTAAAACTCTCTAATGCGTGGCGAGCGATCATATGCCGGCCAGCCTGACGCGCATGGGTGCGTGCATCAGATTGAAAAGTGCAAACCGACTCCCATTGTTAACCCTGTGAGCTTATCCGTCAATGCCATGGCGCACAAAGGAACACCTGGACTATTCCCACTGTGATTGAACCACTTGAGGTGACATCTTCCGCAAACGGAACGTATGGCACTAAATTCCTTGAAGGAAGATCACAGCATTGTACTTACAATGGCTGATAAGGGAAAACCGTTGTAATGAATAAGTCAGAATATTTTGGAAAAATGGGACAACATTTGAAGACGAATCCACATAGAGTAGTTGTTGATAAGACTTGCCGGGGCCTAAAATTTGGCCGTGCTCTACGATTCCTTTCTTTGGAGTTCAACAACACACAAGTTCTGACATCATACATTTTGCTTTAGCGATTCTTGTTTTAATTCATAACTGGTCGCGCGATGCAAATCTACTCACGCGATATATTAAAATCGCTACGTCTTTCTACACTCGTAACCCGTGCATTTTTGAACGGTTGTGTTATCAGGAACAAACTGACACGAATTCAGAAGCAGTGTAACAACTCTGTTATGAAACATCATTCTGGATGGAGAGTTGCTTTTTGAAGGAAAAGTTTGAGAGACCTGAGCGCCCCAGTATTGCTTAGCACCAACATCCGCTCGCTCATGGGGAAATTAAATGAACTCAAGCATTGTTTTCTCAAGAGAGTTTTCGCAACTTGAAATCATTATGTTGCAAGAAACCTGGCTCCATGAAGAAGTGGATGATGCAGTCGTATCCGTTGGAGAATTTATTTGCCATCGGGTTGATCGCCCATGCACGTACCGAAACCGAGGTGGTGGAGTACTTATTTACACCAATCCGTCTTGGTGTATTACAACAAAATGTGTTTTTTGTTTCTCCTCACATTTAATCAATTGTTTAGTCATATGTAGAAATAGTGAACACTAGTCCGAGACGGTTCGCGAAATTAAGCGAGGATATCAGAAGGCAGTTGGAGTCTGACACAGCGGACTTTATTTGATGGGCTACAAGAAGACGCGGACGGATGAAGCGAGACAAGAGCAAACACATGAGCGCGGTAACTTACAAGGCGGTCAAGTCTCGAGCCGGATGTAGGTCCACATGGACGTAATGTAAAGGAGATTAAAGCAAGAAAGAATAATGTACAGTCGGTCATCAGTGAGTGTACACAAAAGATAATAGTTCTCTTTTGGAGCGCTACAAAGCTCCCCCTAGAAGGCTGAACAAAAGAAGTATTGGATGTCGAAGATGACGGGTGAATCGTAATTGGTTGGGCAAAATCTTGCCGAGTAAGTGAGTGGGCCTTCGGGTCAAAAGAGGGTTCTCAGGAGGACGGAGTCCGCTGTGCCGTTTGTTATTTAAAGGCGGTGTTGCCTTCGATTTGTTGACCAGAAGAATTGCGAGTGCAGTGGCTCGAACCTTCCGGGCCGCATGCCCACACGTCTTTGCGGAAACAGCTCCCTTTATAGCCCAACGCGTTAAAGACAGACTTCCGGTTCTGTCCCATTCTTACATCTTAGATCAGTTGACCTGCGCCTGTGGTGCGTGGTACGTGGGACACACAACTAGGCTCTGTGTAAACGCATTGCGGAGCACTAACCAGCTGCTTTGCGGAGAGGAATCGTCAGTCGCCACAACAGTTCCATCCTGGAACATCTGGTGGAAAGCGGACACCGAATTAGGACCTATGATGCCTTCCAAGTACTTTCTGTAATACAGCCACGGTACACTAAAGGTCTTAGGAAGCAAATCTTACGGACGGCCGAAGCGATCGCGACTAGAATAATTCAACCGGAATCATGCAAACAGAAGGCTTTGGTGCAAGAGCTTCTACCTTGGCCCTAGTTAGCTTACCAACTTTTTTCACTCCATGCGCCTACAGTGATCGGCGCTTGGCATTCCACCGATCAATCAATGCGTGCTCTGTCACATGTGTTGTTTGTCGACTTTATTTATCTAGACTTTTGAGTTTCTGTTCGTCCTGATTCCACTATTCCCACCCCGTTGGCTTCATCAGCTACTTGTGCTCTGTCCTTCCATTTTATAATTCTAAGTGCCTGAGAAGATTTGTCGGAAAGAGTACTCTTCGCAAGCTTGTGTTCTTGCATTTCCATGAGTATAATTTACGAGTATTTAATATTTATTAATTGCAGCGCAGAGTGCATTTCGGCGAAAGTTGTCGGACTTTAAAAAAACCGGTTAGTCCAGAAGAAGGCCGAAAGGACCTCAACCTATGCTGCTGCCAAACGGTGCGCTTGGGAGTGGTCTCTCCCCCCGCCGCACCCCGTCCCGCGTCAAAACGCCCCTCGTCCCACGGAGAAACGACCAACGTCCCACGAAGAAGTGACCTTCACCTCGCAGAGAAACGACCAGCGTTCGCGTCAGGATCTTCGTTGACTGCACCGATCCTAGAAAACAATACTCGTGAGGGCCAGTCGTTCGAAGCGGAGGGTTGGGACATATGGAAACGAGAAAATAGAAAAACGCACAGAAAACACCAGAAAGAAAGAACGAAGGATTTGCGTGTTTAAATTATTTCGATTTTGAATATTTTTTAGAAAAAAGATTTTTCGGAGGTTTTTGACTTTTTCGTTTGTTTCCAAAAAGTTACTCGACCAAAAACGGGGCAAATATATACAATATCTACAAACCTAAACGTATTTAGACTGTACATAGTTGGAAAAACGAACGGACGTACGCACTTCCCGACCACGGCGATTGGTCATGGGAGGCTGCGGGCTAGATTCAGGAGATATCGGGACGGCTGATGCTTGTAGACCTGGATCGTGGTCTTGTTGAACTACACTAGGATGCTGAAAGTTGGTGCGGTGAGTTGTGACGTCGCACGAAGCACTACTACGCGAAGTAGGCGAGGTGGTTTCTTCCATAAAGGCGAGCTTCAGCCGGTCGATGTTGACGACTTCTCGTCGCCCACTGCAGTCAATAGTGTAGGTCTTATTCGCACGGTGTAGCACTTTGAAAGGTCCCATGTACGGCGACTGAAGAGGCTGTCGAACACCGTCTGCGCGAAGAAGGACGTGTGAACACGTAGACAGCTTCTGGGGCACGTACACTGGTGTGTTCTGCGATCGAGGAGCGGGTGGACGTAGCTCACGCATCTGCTGCGCCAATCGATCGGTATAACTTCCGTAGTCAAAAGGGGAAGTAGAGGAGCCTTGTGCTACCAGCTGTCCGGGCAACTGCAGCGTGCAGTCGTAGACTAGTTGCGCTGGTGTTGCGTCGAAATCCGATTTAACCGTGTTTCTTAAGCCTAGGAAAACGGGAGGAAGTGTTTCAGACCATGAAGGATCTGCGTGCGCACGTAGCGCGGTCTTCAGTTGGCGGTGAAAATGCTTCATCATGCCGTTAGCGACCGGACGATACGTTGTCGCCGGAACGTGGCGATAAACTAAATCCTTTAGCAACGTGGCAGAAGTCGACGAGAAATGTGACCCTCCATCGGCGTTCACGATGGCGGGACAGCCTTCTTGAGCTACCCAGCGCTTCAGAAATGCTTTCGCTACCGTTTCAGAAGAGCAGTTAAGTATGGGAATAGCTTCCGGCCACCTATTGAATCGATTGACTCAGGTCAGTAGATATAGAGGGCCTCTCGAAGGAGACAGAGGACCTACGAGGTCGACGTGCACGTGGTGAAAACGTGTGTCTTGCGTGGGAAAGGTGCCTAATGGGCCTCTCGTGTGCTTGTGCACCTTCGCGCGTTGACGTGAAGGCAAGCATCTGCCAAAGTATGAACATACGGTTGACATTGCGCCAGACGAATCGTGTGATTACGAGTTTAACCGATGCACGAACGCCCGGATGAGACAAGCGGTGCAACATGTCGAACGCGGTCTGCGGGAACTCGTGTGGGACGACTGGGCTCGGTGTGCCCAGAGATAAATCGCAAAGTACAGTTCCGTCTGATGATGTCAGCGGAACGGGTGGTATGTCTAGTGATGGAGACCTGCGTATTCTATCAACATTGGATCACTTATTTGCGCTGCGGCTATGGCTGTCAAGTCGATAGCAGTGCCGGCGTCCGCAGAGATCGCTTGAATTCGGAAAAATGCATCAGCGACAGTGTTGTACACATCTGAGACATGTCGTTTATCGGTCGTAAACTGAACGATATAGTCTAGGTGGCGCGACTCTCTAGGAGAGTACCGGTCGTTAGTCGAGCTAAGCACGTAAGTCAAGGGTTTGCGGTCGGTGAAGACGGCAAAGGAGCGGCCTTCTAAGACGTGTCGAAAGTGACGTATCGCTAGATATATGGCTAGTAGTTCTCTACCGAACGTGCTGTAGCGAGATTTAGTAGGTTGTAGGCGTTTGGAGAAAAACGCTAAGAGCTGCCACATGTCGGCTACTCGTTGCTGCAAAACAGCGCTGACTGCCACGTCCGAGGCGTCAGTACTGAGGGACAGTGGAGCAGTCGGATCGTGATGCGCTATAGAAGTTATGTTGGCAATAGCCTCTTTCAGTGATTTAAAAGCAGTGCGTGCTGCGGCAGGAAATTCGAATTTCTTTAGTTTCCCTCGGAGTAGGTCCGTGAGGGGTTGCATCAGCGACGCGCAGTTTGGTATGAACCGTCGGTGAAAGTTGACAAGTCCATCAAAACACCTAAGCTGTTTGAAAGAATGAGGCTCAGGATAGTGGATGATGGCTTGAATTTTATCCTGCAGTGGCACGACGCCTGCAGAAGAGATACGATGGCCCAGGAAATTGACTGAATCGACACCAAACGAACACTTTTCCGCGTTGATCGTCAACTTGTGTTGAGATAAACGATCAAAAAGTGTTCGTAACTGGCGCATGTGCTCTTCTCGTGATGAGCTCGCAATTAAGATGTCGTTGAGGTAGGCTTAACCATCCCTTATACCAAATGGCATGCGCAGAAACTCGAACAAACCAAATGGATTCGTCACGGCAGTTTTAGCGATGTCCGCTTCGGCTACTGGAATTTGGTTGTAAGCGCGCGCCAAGTCGATTTTACTGAAAATCTTTTTACCTGCCGGACTAGCGTTGAGGTCCACAATATGTGGAATAGGATTGTGCCCTGGCGTTCGCACCTTGTTTAGAGATCGATAATCGCCACAAGGACGCCAGTCCCCCATAGTCTTTTTCGGCTCCATGTGGAGAGGTGACTCCGATTGGCTGTTGGATGGTATTATGATACTGAGCTGAAGCACGTGATCGAATTCAGCTCTTGCGGCACGTAATTTAAAAGAGACGAGACCTCATGGTTGGGCGCTCGTTGGCGGACTGCGCGTGACAATGTGATGAGCGACCTTTGTCATGAGTGACGGAAGCTCGGCAGCTGGTCGTAGCAGTCGCGGGTACTCAGACAGTAGGTTCGCATAATCTGAAGGAATATCGGCGATTCTGAAAACGGGACTGATTATCGGGGCCTCCGTAAGAACGCCTTCAACATCTAGTTTAGTACGGTCGTCTAAACGTCTGTGGCGACCAACATCAACAAGCAGGCCAAAATGTCGGAGGAAGTCGATACCGATAATTGCGAAGGGTACAGACGCAGTCATGAAGATCCACTGAAAATCTCGACGAAGATTGAGGTGCAGCTTCATCATGCGCTGACCGAATGAACCTATCAGAGAACCGCTGGCCTCACGCAGGTTGTACCTGTGCTTTGAATGTTTGTCGTTTGTGTTCGCAGGGATGACGCTGACTTCCGCTCGCGTGTTGATGAGGAACGTGATGGAAATGGTCCATCCTTAACTTAAAACATGCGATTTGTTTGGTTATTGACGGATACGTTGGTGTTGCTAGTATGCAGGCTATTCGCTTTCCCTAAAGCGGCTGCGTCGTGCGTAATGCAGGGAGCCCGACAATGTCTAGCTCTTCCACCATGTTGGCAGTGATACCAACATAATTGTTCGGCGGATCTTGTATTGTCTAACTAGAAATGTGCAGTGAGAATTCCGCGCTTTTTCGTCGAGCTAGACCTGCTCACTGCAGGCACAGACGAGCCGCAATGAACGGTAGCCAAAACGTGGTCTGCATCTGACCGTGGCATACGCTGCATCGAAGCCTTCACTGCTGTTAGCCTGCAGCGTAGTAGCGCAATTTCCACGTCTTTTGGATCAGATCGGTCTGACGAATTGGAGCGATAATGAGACTCGGTTTTCATCGGTGAGAATACGTTACCGGAATCACTGGTCATTTTGCTTCGGAAGACGTTTAAACGCAACGTCTGCCTTGGCAGCTAATTCTTTCCGCAGCGTATCCAGAAACATGGACAGCATTACCAGCAACGGCTCTGAGAGACGTGCAAACCACAGTTCTTTTATCTCTTCTTCGCACAAGAATAAGGGATCAGCGGTGCGCTGAATTTCGCGTAGAAACGTTGACAGCTTGCTATCTCACAGCGTGAGACCATTGAGCTGTTCAAATCGAGCTCGTGCGCTGGGCTGTAACTCTTAGAACTGCTAGCTTCATCGTTTCATACTTTGTCTCATTCGATGGTCAAATTAGCGTGTCCTCAACTAGCGTCACAACCGACGAAGGGAGAAGTGGGACGAGCTGATTTTACCTCGGATGGTCCGTCTTAATGCCCTCATATTCCAGTTCGATCCCGAATATCACAAACCAAACCTCTGTGCTGTGTTCCATGAAATGGAACAGCCAAAGTAAGCATGTTTACGCTGCGAAACGACTCAGATGCCACTTTCGAAATGTGAATCGAAATGATCAAGGATGAACAAAAACACGATAAAAGCACCAAAATTACGCAAGAAACAAATGAATATAGGTATATAATCGAGAAAAAGGAACGAACACTAAAAAATACAAACGACGAAAAAGGTTTAAATTCGCGCGTGAGAATCGCGTTCACCATTTTGTAGGACTAGTGAATACTAGTCCGAGACGGTGCGCAAATTAAGCGGGGATATCGGAAGGCAGTTGGAGTCGGACGCAGCGCATTGTATTCGATGGGCTACAAGAAGACGCGATCGGATGAAGCGCGACAAGAGCAAACACCTTAGCGCGGGAACTTACAAGACGGTCGAATGACGAGCCGGTTATAAGGAAGAGTAAAACAAGCAAGAATAATGTGCAGTTAGTCAACAATGAAATGGTACACAAAAAATAGTAGTTAACCTTTTGGGCGCTACAAGTTGCTTGATTACTTAAGCTTCCTTGATGATAGTATACAGTTTGCTATTAAGTTGGAGTCTTGTTGCGGTA